TGGGCTGGGCCGTTTCTCTGCCTTCCCAGAGACTTTGACGGGCCCTTCCTCTCAACTCTTTGTTTACTATTGATCAATAACCTAATTATTTTCTATCTGCCTTCCTGGTTGGAATAACCAGATCCAACAAAGGAGACTGGGAGAGGTCCTCACCACTCGGCCTAAGGAAGTTCCCATGCGTTCTGAGAGATCAGATGTGGTCCACCAAATAGGGAGCTGGGGGAAGTTCTTGGGGTGCTCATTTTTGTTGTTCAGTCATTTCAGTTGTGTCCAACAGTTGTGTCCAAGCCTTTTTACTCCATTTGGGGTTTTCTTGGCAAAGATACTGGAGTAGTGGTTTGCCATTCCCTTTTCCAGCTTGTTTTACAGATGAGGAAACTGAGGCAAACAAGGTTAAGTGATTTGCCCAGGGTCACACAGCTGGTAAGTGTCTGGGCCAGATCTGAATCCAGGAAGATGTGTCTTTCTGACTCCAGGTCTGGCCCCCTGTCCACTTGCGCCACCTAGCTGCCCTAGGTGCTTACATTAGGGTCCTAAATAACAGCTAGCATTTACACGGATTTTAAGTTCTGCAAAAAACTTTACAGACTATCTCATTTGATGCTTGCAACAATCCTGGGAAGGATTACGCCCATATTACTCTCATTTTACAGATGAAGAAACTGAGGTCCAGGGAGGTTAAGTGACTTGCCCAGCATCACATAGCTCATGAGTAAGTGGCTAAGGCAGAATTCAAACTGCATTGTGTGGGTAGATGGTTTGCATCTTGAGGGAGCGGTCAAAAGATCAGGGGAGAAGAGAGAGAGTGGGCTCATTGGCTCCTTCAAATCACTTCTGGAGGCCAAAACCTACTCTCTCAGCTCATAAGGGTAGCCTTGGTCAAAGGATCCCCCAGACTCATCACAGATTAGTATAATAGCTGAAACCCCAGGTTTATAATCAGATATACTGGATTTGAATTCTGAATTTTTCAATTAGCAGCTATTTGACCTTGGGCAGGTCTCTTCTGTCAGTCCTTCTGTTGCCCATCTGGGGCGGTGAACCTTTGGCCTTGAGGCCACATGTGACCTTCTAGGTCCTTGGGTTCTGTCTTTTGACTGAGTCCAAGTTTTACAGAACCAATCTTTTTATTGAGGGAATTTGTTCTGTGAAGTTTGGATTCAGTCAAAGGGCCACACTTGAGGACCTAGAGGGCCACGTGTGGCCTCCAGGCCACAGGTTCCCCATCCCTGTTAGCCCCTCCCAGGACTGTTATAAAGATCAAGACACCAAAGGATGCAATCCCTGCCCTCAAGGAACTTACATTCTCTACTCAAATGAAATAATAGATGGAAAAGGGCTCAGTCAGGAGTAAAGTGCTTCACACATACAACATGGTCCTATGGCAAGGTGAAAAAAAGGAGAGAGATGAGTGTAGGGGAGTGAGAAGACCTGGATGGGAGGTGAGAGACTCCTGGGGCTGCCCCTCAGTCACAGCAAGAACATCCAACACGTTTTTCCTTTTATTGGAACCTAGTTTCATCGCCTGCAAAATGAGTGGCTTGGACTGGTCGATGACCATGAGCTCTTCCAACTCTAATAAATAATCTTATGTCCTAAAATTCCTTCTGACTCTGATGAGGAGTCTGGCGTCTAGGACAGTTTGAGGCTGGTGCAGCACTGCCACCTGCTGGCCATACTCTCTAAGGGCATCGTCCAACGATTCTTCTGGCCACTAAGAGGGATTTGTTCGGGAGGCAAACTGGGTCACAGGTATAGAACTTAAAAGCACCTTAGAGATCATCCAGTACAACCCCTTTATTTTGCAAATGAGCGGACTGAATCCTAGTGCTTAAATGACTTGCCCAAGGTCACACATGGTGGAAGTGGAAGACCTGGATTTGAACCAAGGTACCTCTATAAAATGAGGGGGTTAGATTTGATGATCTCTAAGCTTCTTTACACCTCTTATCCTATAACTCCAAGTGTTCTCTCCATTACCCCATGTCCTGTGTCCAGAGGACTCTGACTTCTATTGGCCTTTTCCCATTTCCCAGGTGACTAAACCCCTGGGCCCCAAGACTTACTTGTTCATGAGACAAAAACAAAACCCCTGCACAATTTCTGCCAGTGTAAATGAGTGCCTGGGAGAGTTGCTTGGGGGCAGTGAGAGGTTGAATGATTTACTTAGTGTCACATAGTCAGTAAAGACAGTCAGTGTCAGGGGCTGGATTGAGCTCAGGTCTTCTTCAGTTCAAGACCAGCTCTCTATCCACTATGCCATGCTGCCCCTCACGTTAAAATTGCAGCACTGTAAGGTTTACAAAGTACTTTAATCACACCACTCTTTTGAGGTAGGTAGTGCAAGTATCTCATAGGTAAGGAAATTGAGATTTAGAAAGGGAGAGTCACTTCCTCAAAATCACTCAGTTATCTGGTATGAAACACTCTTTTATTGATGCTAAGGTAAGGGCTCTTTCCACACCATGCTGTTGCTTCCCAGGACTTAGTTCCTGCTTCCTCCAGCCCACCTTTCATAAAGGGCACCTTGATCCATTATAAATTATGCAAGCAAACATACTTCTCCAGTTGGAAATTACTGCTGTCCTCTAACCTCTTGAAGCAGTAGTAGTAGCTGAGTATAGCCAGAACATAGTAGAGTGAATTGGAAAGGTTTCTGGACCCGAAGTTAGGAGAACTGGGTTCAAATTCTGGCTCCAAAACTTAGGGCTGTGGTGATATGTAAATCACTCAATCTCTCTGAACCACCCCTGTAAAAAGGGGCAATGATTTTTTTCATTCCCCACCTCACAAAGTTGTGAGCAAAATGCTTTGTAAAATCACTATGGAAATGTTAGCTAATATGATTATATGTATATAATGTATATGTATATAATATGATTATAAGTGTCTGTATCTCCCCTCCCCCAAGGAATAATGAATTGGGCAGCCTCATTTTCCTTTAAATTTCCCCCTTCCAGTTAAGGATGGCTTGAGAGAGGCATTGGAGGTGTGAAGGAAAGAGACCTTGGTCAAGAGTCAGGACAACCCTCGTTCTGCTCCTACTGAGCCATGCTACTGTAGGGTAACTCATTTCTCTGATTCTCCTGTGTAAAATGAGCTGACCTCTGGGATCCCTCCTGGCTCTGATTTTATAACTGATTCAGTGATTCAGCAAGAGGTTGGGTTGTGACCTTCAGCTTGGGGTTGGAACATAGGCTCAATACCCAGATGGGCCAGGCACCTTAGTTCAGAGGAAAACTCAAGTTTGTTGGCTATGGATGATAAGACTACAGATCCCCCCACTTTGCTACCAGGGGGAGAAGGTAGCAATACAGATGGCTCAACTTATTCTTATCTCCAAGACCCTGGAGGGAGCTCAGTATCATAACTGATGACCCACAAAGCAAACACAGGAGATCTGACTGTGGGGAAAATACTCCTCTTTTGGGGGTTGTTTGAACATGGATGGTAGACAGAGGTGTGAGTAGAGCTGAACCCAGGTGCAGTACCCAGATGCAGGGTGAAGGCTGCCCACTGCCTGGCACTGGCGATGAATGTACCACCTTCCACAGATAGGTACCGGGTGGAGACAGTCTGAGATCGAAGACGATTGAAGAGAGACACCTTGGATCCAGAGGAGATGCATACTGTGAGGGAAGGGGCTGGTCAATGTTACCTGCTCAAGTTTGGCTCCTCTCCCTTTCCATTATCCCTCATGATGGGAGGGGACCCAGGGCTGTGCCTTATTTGCAAGACCCTTCATTATTTCCTGACCCCTTCTTTGCCAACATCTCCTTAGTACTTAGGTGATAGGAGTAGTGCCTAAAACTGTGATTTCATTGGCATAGGGAAACTACTAAGTCAGGAAGTCCCCTCTACTAAGGCAGATCAGGACCTTCACTGAAACAGAATAGTTTTACACAGTTGCCCAGAGCCCTGAGAGGGTGAGTGACTTGCCCAAAACAATGCAGTCAGTATGTATCTATCAGGGAGAGGACTCTACCAGCCTCCTGGCTCAGCTCTCTATAAACCATACCTTGCTGCCTCTCTATGGCAAATATGAGCCAGCTCAGATATAATGTGGGGAAACTCCCAAGATTTAGAGTCAGATAGCCCTAGGTTCAAACCCTCACTCTGCTACTCACTAGTTACTTTCAACAAATCTCTTAATCTCTCTGAGTCTCAATTTTATCTTGAAATCTTTTCTTAGCTCTGAATCCCACGATGTTAACTTCTTACTTCTAGAAAGCCTTCCAGCTGCCAGCCCTCATTCATCTTTCCAGTCTCAGAGCCCAAAGAGCAGGTAAGACTTGGTGCTTTCATTGTCTAATTGTGAGTGTTGTCTCTGCAGCCTGGGAACCAGTCACCTTACCTTTCTGGTCATGGCCAACCCCCTCTCCCCAGACCTGGATTCAATGGGCTCTCCAACTCTTACGTTCTACCTTTGAGGGCTCCTTCCAACTCTGAAGCTTTATGACTCCATGATTTCCTAGGCCCCACTCCCTCATTTTAAACCACATCCTTTCCTTCACCCCCACCTCTGGGGCTATAAAGGCAAGCACAATAAACTGAAGTGTACCTGTGAGAGAGCTTTGGCGCAGGCGAATTCCTAGCCAGCCGGCGAAGTGGGCAGCTTTGCCTTTGTCCTGGGGCCAGCAGGCTCAGTGAAGCCTTGGCTACCCAGTTGAGGATGGCTTAAAGAGCCCCCAACCCCAGCTCTCCCAGTCACTCTGGCCCCCTTGGACTGCCCAGGTAGGTCCCCTTCCTCCCTAAGCCCACACCAGTCCCTCCCATCCAGGTCCCTGACCAAGGTCATCATCTGGGGGAGGAGGAAATGCAGCACCCTCCAACAGTGGAGAGGTGGGGATCTGTCTGCTCAACTTTCCCGTCCTTACTCTAGAGTCTGGCTGCTCCTCAAAGCTCAGCTTTTGCGCCTCTGCGGAACCGCCGTCCAACCCCATGTAACCGGCGACCATGCATCCAGACTCCCCCGTCTCGTTCGCTAGAATACACCGCAGATGACTGATGAGACGAGGTTGGAATGTACCGTACGGTGTGCTCCTGTACAGTGGATTCAAGGGGGCGCTGTGGGGTTGCGCCTTCACCCTCTTGTCCCTGGTGACTCCCAACCTCTGGATCTAGGAGAAGCTGTGGAGTAGGTCCTGCTTCCCCCACTCACCTTGCCCCTGTTCCGGTTTCAGCCTCCAGCCTGGGCCCGTGAGATATATGCAGGGCGGCGGACAGAAGAACCAACGTGGAGAGGTGACAGGTGAGAAATTACTTATCTAGGTCACAGGGAGTTGGTCATGGACTAAGTGCAGCCTGGGGGTACTGCAGGTTACAGTTAGAATGGGAAAGGGAGATAGGGGAGAAGGGGTTCCCCAGCCTTCCAGACATCTTTTCCCACTTCTTTTCACTCCCACAGAATTTCTAGGCCACTTTGGTTTGTAGAATCCCACACATTCCTTTCATACTGTCTGTAAACATTTTTGAATCCAGTCTCTCAGTCCCAATGGTTCTGGGGGTGACTTGGGACCAGGAGGAGAAGAAAGCTTCGTTGAGGTCAGTAGTAAGGATCCATGAGAAATGGACTTGTCTCCAAGTTTTATGGCCACCCTGGAGCCCTGGGTAACCAGAGGTAGGCATGAAGGGGAACTGGGGCATTGCCACAGGCTGCGGTCTAAATATTTCGGCTGCTGGGTGTTGAATGGGCCCTTCACAGAGCCTCAGCACTGGTCGATCCGAGGTGCAACCATGCAGCCTCCCCCAGCTGTTGTGGCTCAGTGCCAGACCAGGCCAGTGCAGAGGAAGCAGGGCCTGCACAATGACTGCTTTCGTGCTCAAATGTCACCTCCCTTCTGCTCCAGCCCTACCCGTCGCTATTCTCCAGGCCAGAGAGAGTGGATTCCGGGGGAGAAGGGGATGAGCAAAGGTGCTGGGTAGTCAGTAAATGCTTGTGGAAAAGGTTAAATTGTCCCTGCTCATACTTCTCTCTGTCTCCTCCCTCTCCCTGCCTCTTCCCAATGGAGAATGGTCCCATAGCACAAAGTACTGAATTGGGGGTTTGGAGGTTGTAGCAATATTTTTACACCTCTCCCTTGTTAGACTACTACTAACAACCAGATTCTCCTACCAATTTTTTTATTTTTGTCTCCCATGCTTTTTATTATTATTCTTTTTTTAATTAATTAATTTTTAGTTTTCAACATTCACTTTTATAAGATTCAGAGTTCTAAATTTCCTCCTCTCCTCCCTCCCCAAGACGGCATGCAATGTGATATGGGCTATACATGTACAATCATAAATGCTCCTACCTCTTGTGGTGAGGTCTGGAAACTTGAAACCCAATCCCCACCTCTGCCCCATCTTACATTTTCCTACTTCTTCACTACCATTCCCTGGCCTTAGGGAGGCCAGGGAGCTGGGGCTTAGTGGGCATGGGGGTAGATGAGTGCCGGAGCCCAGGGGCCTAAGAAAGAGGACCCCCCCCCAAATAGCAGGATTAGTGTCCCAGATCCTATGCCAGATAGGTCTCCTGACAGAAAAGGATGCAACGGCATCCTCCACACTCGATTCCACTTGGGCTTTTTATGAAGAAGTTCAGGGAGCACCCCATGACCATTCTGATGGAGCTAGTGTAATCTCTAGGCTGACGTGGGGCTGGGGGGCTAGGAGCAGAGGGAAATAGGACAGTTTTGCGAATTCAGGTCAGATGGCTCGGCTGCATCCGGTCACAGATGTGGGGAGCCGTATAGTCCTGCCCGCTCGGGAAACACTCCGATATGGGAGCTTGGGGGGTGTTTCTGGGGCTCACATGCCCTAGGGGTAGGGGTCAAGAGGAAGCTTGGTGAGACTGAAGAAGGCTGGCTGTCTTCTATACTTCCCCAGCCCCCCCAGCTTAAAACACTGCCTGACACATAGAAGTTGCTCAACGTTGATTGACTAACTGCCTGGAGCCTGGGATTGTCCTCTAAGGTCTTACAGACAGGATTGCGCCCTGGGAAATACATAGTGCTTCTGCTCTCAATCCACATTGTCTCAGGAGCCGTCTAGTGAAGCAAGATGATATTAGAGTTTTCCTGCAATCCCACAGAAATATAGCCTACTCCGGCAATCCTCCCCTCCCTCGGTTGTAGAGCTAGACGCATAGGCAGAGGACCAGGCTTTCAGTGCGTCTGGTTTCTCTCTGTGGAGAGCGCCGTGATGACTCCCCCAACCCACCCCCAAACACACACTGAACACACACCCAACGCTCCCATCTCCTCTGCTGGGCCTACGCTGTCTGGGGTAGGGGCTTTCTGTTTTAGTAGGAGAGGTTGGCCGCTCCTACTCTTCACCCTCTCGCCCAGTCCCAGAGTTTGAAGCGCGGCCGCCGCTGCCATTCCTTTCAACCCCGACCCGACCCGAGTAGCCAGCTGGAGTCCCTCCTTGGTTCAACAGAACAAGGGACCCGGACGGTCGGTTTCGTCTTCTCTCTGACCCTTGGAGCTCTCCAGCCGGCCCGCTGAGTGAGTGGTGCTAGGGACAGCGAAGGGTATGTACGAAGAGCTCAAGTCTTTTAATCTCGAGAACACCAATAGGGTCTGTCCTTGGACTCTAATATAGGATGTCTCCCAAGAAAACCTTCCCCGTTGATGGTGATTTTCTTAGGCGTGGTGGTGGTGGAAATGATCCCTTTGTTTTAGGGAGAGATTCTTTCCTGATGTTTTCCCATAACCCCAGGGACATTGCGTAATGGTATTTATTCTAGATCAGGGGTGGGGAACCTGAAGCCTCGAGGTTACAGGTGGCCCTCTAGATCCTCGGGTGTGGCCTTTTGACTGAGTCCAAATTTTACAAAACAAATCCTTTTATTAAGAGGATTTCTTCTGTGAAGTTTGGACATGTCACCAACATCAGTCTCAATTATCTGTGATACCCATCCTTCACAAACAAGTACCTCTTCTGAATGATTGTAGGGGAAAGACAACTGGGCTGGGCAGAGCAGTGTCAGGAGACCTGGATTCTAGTTCAGTCTCTGCCCTCAAATGTGATATGGCAGGGGCAGCTAGGTGGCGCAGTGGATAGAGCACTGGCCCTGAAGTCAGGAGGACCTGAGTTCAAATTTGGCCTCACACCAAACACTTGACACTTACTAGCTGTGTAACCCTGGGCAAGACACTTAACCCCAATTGCCTAAAAAAAAATGTGATATGGCTCAGTCATTTTCTTTCTCTGAACCTCAATTTCCTCTTCTATAAAATGGAAGTATTGAACTAGACAGTCTCCAAGGTCCCTTCCAGCTTTGATACTCTGTAATTCTCAAAGTCATGGGAAAGGTAGACACCAGATGGCAGGGCAGAGCATCATGGTTCCATGTCACGGCAGGAAATTGACTTGTGGAGAGATCATGGGGGATCTTGGGATGACCCAAAAGTGGCTCCATATGGGTCTCTTGACCTTAGATGGAGGTCTTGGTTGGTGGAAAGAGGAAAGGGTGAGAAGGACTGAATCATAGATCCTTAGAATATTAGTGGTAGAAGGGATCTTAGGACAAAGAACAGCTGGAAGAGATCTTAGAACACGGAATTCTGGAGCTGGTTGACTCCTTCAAAGTCCAACCCCCTACTTTCGAAGAAGGGGAGACTGAGACTCAGAGAGGGGAAAGGACTTTTCCAAGGTCACACAGTGAGTTAGTAGATCTCCTGACTTCCATTTCAAGGGGTCCTTCCACTAGACTAAATTTATTCTCAAGGAAAGCAGTCAAGAGACATGAGAAGGGAAGAGGAAAGGATGACTGCAGTGCTCTCAGAGCTCCAGCCCAGCAACCCCCAGGATGCTGTTGCCTTTCCCCAGCCCAAACCTGAGGAGCTCACTAGCCCTGGCACTTCCCCTGAAGCTTGCACATCTGGTTTCAATCCTACTGTACCTGACCTCCCGCAGCATAACCATAAAGTGGCTCAATGAGAACAGATCGGCCAGCTATTTGGTGGCTTTTAAAAATGGTTGAACAAAGAGTTCAACCTGAAAGCCTAGTTAAAAATATCTGCATTCACCAACTCAAAAACTGGGGCTGGGGAAGCAGGGCGGAGATGTGAAAGGAGAGGGGCAGGATCTGAGTCAGTCTTTTTCTCTCAAAACAAAACAAAAACAAAAACAAAGAAACTCAGAATGTGGGGCCACTGAGTACACTCTGGTTGGCCTGAAACTTTCACCTCAGCCTTGACAGGAGACTACTCAGTCGGACAACAGTTTTCCATAAGCATAGAGTGAACAAAGCCTCCCAATTCGAAATTGTGAGTAGGCTCAAGTGCAGAAAGAACTGAAGTCTGGGGATCTAGATCCTAGTCCTGACTCTTCCAGTAATTGGTTTCATGACAGTGGGCATGTAACTTTTTTTTTCTTTGGGCCTCAGTTTTCTCTACCTGAATGATTTCTTTCCAGCTCTGACACCTGTGGTTCCAAGGTGAAGACTTCAAGTCCAGCCGGAGGGTCCCCCCCTTGGGGATGTGGGCTTTCAATTGCATATATGTGGGTTGGAGGACAGGTTCTCTAACACTTTCTTCCCCGAAGGATTCATGGCCACACTCCTGGTGACCGAGGGCCATGAATCCCGGTTACCCGAAATACTGAGTTCTCCCAGGCGTAGCTCTACCCCCTGGTCCCCCAGCACTTTGCTGTGCCACCTCCCCCTCCTGCCTTTCTACATCCATTCTGGGGGCCTTATCTCCAAGGCCTCAGAGGCTGCTTCCCGCCTAGGCCTGCCTCCTACTCCCCAACCTCCCTTATTTGCTCTAGGCTCCAGCACCTGCTCCACAGCTGCTGGCTTCCCACGCTGGCTTCTAGAAGCCATTTGGAGTCGATCCTGTTTGACCAGAGTGGAGTCCCCTAGACAGTGCCAGAGGTTGGGGGTGAGGAGGCAGGAATAGCTGGTGAAGAAGGAGGGCAGGTCGTCTGCAATCCATCTCTTCCTGGAGTTTCTCAGCTCTCTAGGAGCGAGACCTCTAGCAACAACTCTTGGGCAGAAGTTTGTCTTGGCTGCCCCATCTCCCTATCCCTATCCTCCCAAGGATGTGGCCCTGCCTTGTGGCCTGAGGTTCTCTTCCAGGGGCTGGAATGGGGTGGAGGTGGGAGACTGGCAGCAGGGGAAGCGGTACAAAGAGGTGCCTTGTCAGGCTCAGACTCAGTGGGAAGGGGAAGGGGGAGAAAGGGGAGGCGACCCAGGTAGCAGCAGTTATCACTTTCGGCTACCAGGGAGAGAAGGGAAAGTGCAGAGAAGTAGGGGCCAGT